GCACAAGCAGTCTGTGTTTGCTGCACATTCTGTTTCTTAAGGCAACATTTAGGCTGCAAATTCCCTGAAGAAAAGATAATCTTGCTGAGTGTTTCCAACACGCCTAACCCTCCTGGGCTTTCATTTCCTGACTGGCTTTTAATGTAATGTAAAGAAAGAAATAATATCTTCCATTAAAACTTTATTAGGTAGCTCTTCCACTTAAGAAAGCTGTTTCACTTACTCCCAGCCAAATGAAGCCCAGCCATTGAAAGCTAAACATGAAAATTCAGGAGGGGGCTGCGGAAAGCCACCTGCAGTCTTGAAAAGAGGGGGAAAAACACAAGTGGTGGTTTTGGTGACCTGTGTAAGAAAATGCACAGAGCTCAGCACGCTGTCCTGGGCCAGAGTGATGAGTACCAGGACATGAGTGCAACAGCCAGTGTGGGGAAACTCTTCATTTCTTGGCAAGGGGAATCTGCATATGCTTATCTCCCACTTCTATATCCTGGTGATTTCTACAGGAATCTGTTATGATTATTGGGAGCATCACATCTGCTCGCTGCCCTGGATGTTGTTAAGTCTACTAGGGAGCTGATTGATGTGTGGTTATCACTGGAGAGCAGCCTGAGTGGCAGCAGCTGACCTTCTTAGGAGCATCTGTATTGTTCCTCACCTTCCTGCTGGCTTTTGCTGTGACCTTTGGATACAGATCAATCCCAGATTAGTGTTGGTTAACAATAAACACCCTAAAATTATGATACAAGTAGACAAGTTTTTAAAAGGTTAGGCAAGCTCGGGGCAAGATAGTGCAAGACCCTGCTGGTGCTCGGTTGGTGTGGTCTGTTTTCCAAAAGTGTTTTCCGGTCCTGTTACCTGTGATTGCAGAGCAAAAGCAGTTGGATAACCCTAGGAAGGGGGAGATGCGGTGTGGCAGCTTCTCAGCTGGGCTGCACAAAGCCCTGATACAGCCCAGGAGATGGACTGTAACTTATTTTTCTGGGCACTCCATGAAGTGTTGGTGGAAGCAGTATTTTGCCAAAAAAGATGGGTAAATACATCCCGCTGTACTGGACTGGCTTCAGTTCATAAGTGACAGTCGAGGTTTTTCATTTTCCCTTGAACAGTTATATTGTCCTCCCCACTCCTTTTGCAAACTTCTGGCTGCACAGATATATTGGAGTACGCTTATACATTATATATATGATATGGAAGCTGTAGGCCATGTAAGGAAATAAATTTGTATCTGGGCATCGTACCCAGCCGTGTAGGAAAACCCATAGAGAACAACACTGATCGTCAATGATGAAGTGGTTAAATAAAAAGCCTTGTTCCATATCATCAAAGGTATTTTGTGCATCTTTGCAACATCTTCAAGTGTTCAGTAACAAAAAAAAGCTCTGAGGGGAAAATTAACTCTGTCATGGGTGATATAAAGCTGCATCAGTACCTATAAAGTGCCCTAGCAATAGAAGAGAATTGAAGTAATGAACAGAAATGCTCAGTTAGAGCTTTTTCCATATTTTATGTTAATCATTAGGGTAGAGCTGAAATTAGCTTTAATTGATATTAAGGGTTGAAAAAATGAATCCTCTGGAGAATGAGTCTTTTTAACCTTTAATGATGCAGTAAATAAAATATCCTGTCAACATTTGTGCAATAGTAAGGGTTTTCAAAATTCCGTATCTGTATGGTGAGCGATTCAATATGCCTAATTCTCTCCATTACAGCGGATAAAGGTGATGTCAGTGCATAAATTCAGCTACAGGTTTTCCATGTTTCCAAGCTATCTGTCATACCCTGGTAATTCCCCTCACTTGTTACTTCAAATAGAGAGATGGAGAGAGGAAGGAGCAACAGTGAGAGCTAAACAAATTCCGGGTGCTGGCTTTTGCAGTTGTGCACCTTCTGATTTGGGGGCTTCAGGTGCCAGAGCATCAGGAGAAACTGTGCCTCAGCAGAGGGTAAGGTAAAAGAAGCAACGCTGCCTATCCTTCCTTTCAGGTGAGATATGCTTGAATGTATCATTTTTCACTTTAAAGGCAAGATGGAATTGCAAAAGACTTCAATACCTTAGGGACACTTAGTTTAGTAATAGGCCATTCTTTTACCCGTCAGGGCTCAGCCTGGTATTGAAGCACCTAATAACTGACTTGGTGGTGCACGTGAAATATTCCTCTGCGGTAAGCAAGAAACCTGTTTTTCATAAAATCCATTTGATCATTGCAATCAGCTGGAAGTATTACATCATTCAGGGAAGTTACTGTAACGCTGATGGCTACTATGCTGTAGTTAACTGAGAAACAGAAAACAAATCTCCCCACTTATAACCATCTTTGTCTTTCATCAGGGCTGATACAATAACAGCTCTCATATCATGAGGTATATATCTCCTTTGGAAAGGTCCCAGCAAGCCTCTCTGTGTTAGGGGGAATATATTTCCACTTTGTGTTAAGGGGAATGTATTTACGCATACTTACAGAAGTCTTCCTGGGTGATGTTGGTGTTTCACCAGGGTGTGAGTCCTTTATGCTTGCACAGTAATTTGACAAAACTTCTCTGATGAAACACGGTTGTAAAATCTTCAAGAAAAGCACTTTTTTTCCAGATGTTTATGTAACATAGATGTTCTTTAATGTTTCCTTCTTGCTTAGGGTTTGGGAGGATTTAGGGCAGGAAGTGAAACAGAAATGTCCCCAAAATTAATTTCTACCTTGCACTGCATTTGGAAGCTCTTTCCTTTGACAAAGCCCCAGCTTTCTAGGGACAATCTGATGTTCCAGGCCTAACAGGGATGTTTTGGAAACCGTTAAAGTACTCAGCAAGGTCTAGATAAAGCAAATATGTTGTATCAGTGAAAAAATTCGAAAGTCGAGTTAAACTACGTCTGGTTTAAAAGGAAACAGCCAAACCAGTGCAAACAAATCTGATGAATGCACAGCTACCAGGACCAGTTGCATCCATTTCTGAGGGGTGGCCAGTGAAGCAGTGGAAAGTGCTGGGAATGACAGAGACAGCCCTTATAAGCAAAGTAATTTTCTGGAGTTAAGACACAGAGGATCTAATTTTCTTCTAGAAGACTCATTACCATGATTTTGTTACACATTATTTATGGGCTGTTATGATAGCCCTGGCAGGTCATAATTGGCTGAAACCGGAGAATTAGTCACATTTTTCACATTCAGAAGAATGATCTGTACAGTTGTACTAATGACTTCATTCCCGGAGATGCCACGTGCTGGGCAAGGACTGCCTGTATGAGGTACCGCTGGATTAACCCTCTCTGGTTCTGGGCACTTGATGAGATACCACAATGACTTTTCTTTCTGCCCAAGCAGCTGTTTGGCCTGTAGGTGACTTGCTGCTTTCACAATGGTTTTGCCTTTCCTTTCTCTTCCTTGAGTTGGGAGTTAGTTTTGCCAGACACTATTTTCCTATGGGGAAAAATAGGCTTTTTTTTTTTAACCAGTTTGTGTGTGTAGAGGCTCTGTGCTCTCCCCGTTGCAGCAGTAAGACAGGACCAACTCTTCCCCTGAGGGTTTTTAACCCCTGTTAAGTGCTGAGCATCAGTTTGAGCTGGGAAAGGGCTTCGTTGACAGCCTTGCTGTGTACATAGCAAAACCCAAACAATTCTTCACAACTGATGAATCAGAAGGGAGCACTATAATTGTTTTATCTGCCTTTTGGGACAGCACAAGCTGCTAACTCTTGAATTAGAGCCCGGTGAATGTTGCTGTATCTTCCTGAGAAAATGGATGGCTTTGATTTGGGGATTTCCAGGGAGCAGGAATCCACTGTATCGTTGGCTGACAACTCCCAAACACCTTAATTGCCATTCTTGTTAAAGGATGGACATGAATTCTTGAATAAATGTGAACAATATTGGATTGTAGCGTTTGGGTCATGTTGCAGTTTTATCTACTTGACTAAAGAGGAAAGCATGAGGCCAAGGGAGAAAATTATAGACTGTGATTTGGAAAGTATTGTCTTGGAGTGAAGGATGCCAGGATAAAGCCAAGGTGTAACTTAATCTGATTTACAGCTTTCCTGAAAACCTTTCCCATTTTATTAGCATCCTTTTTGGTTTGTACATGTCAAGACCAGCCCAATATAGTGGGGTAAACTGGTATGTGAAATTCAGGGCCTGGAGAAACAGAATTTCTCCGGAAGCAGTGGCCCTCGTGCAGCTTTGTCACCACCCCCTGTGAGCTGCTCCTGTTGCCCTCTGCAATCCGTCCTCCAGCGTGGAAGAGGATTGGCCACTGCTGAAC